AATAAAACATGATCGTTATCTATCAGCTGGTCCCACAGAGACAGCTTTCTGGATACATTTTAAATATGTATATGCCTACTTAATATTATGCAGCTACTTATACCCCATGCATACCTTTTATTTTATAAAATAAAATCAAGCCATGAATTTATTTCATAAGTTGCTTTTTACTTCTTTACCACATAGTAGATAAGGAATCAGGCAGAGGTAGGTTTGGATTCTATTTCTGCAACCTAAATCTGTGACTCTGGGCAAGTTACCAAAACTCTTGTGAGTCACAGAGCAGGGCCTAAAGGAGTCAGGGGTCAATGCTGGAAGCTCTTGGGATGGACAGTAGTGTAAGTCTGAATCAATCTCACACCTGTTTGGTTTTGAATATGTTAGGGCAGCAGTCAGAATGGAACTATTTTAATTCCACTGGGGATGACCCTATTTTTAGTTCTGATTAATTTCACCAGTCATTAAGACTATCTAGAGATGGCACGTTGTCATCTTGAACTCAGATCCCTGTTGGTACTCAGCAGATTGGGTGATCTGCTGAAGTAAGCCCAATATAAGAAAATCAACTGACAGAAAACTGACTTATCTTCACTTTACCTCTGAGCTAATATTGGAATTTAATATTCAGAATTAATAAAAGGTGAGTTGAAATCATTCTCTCTAATACTCCTTTCTTTATTTGGAACTTAAATCTGATGCCTTTTCATCCACACTACATCTCAGTGGCACATTCTGTCTCTCAGGTTGCAGGATGCAATTTTGCACTGAGCCTTGCTTTTCTAATGAGTTAATTGCTTTATTTCATAATAGAAAATAGCTTAAACAGAAGTACTTCCAAATTGGACTAGAATGTTGGCATAAAAGATTTTCTATTTGGAGTAACTATTCCTGAGATATTTGTAGAAATCAAATTCCATATCAGTCATGTTTAGTTTTCTGTGTGGTATTGCTCTGCAGTTCAGTAACTTCTGTTTGTACAGCTGTTTGCTCACACTATCAGTATTAGTTGACAAAGACAAACAAACAGGTCATATCATCTTTATAAAGGTTGAAATCACAAATTTTATATGCTTGAGGATGGTAAAGGGTCAGTTACCTTTAATTCCATAAAGTAAAAATATGGTTCAAACTGTCAGTCTTTGATTTCTGCGAACTGGATTGTAGCATATGAAAGTGGACCAGATAATTTCTTACCAAACAGGTTTCCTAAAGATTAAGTTTTGGTAAGAATGAGGAAATCAAATCACATATTCGTGTTAACTATTTAAGCATGCCTGTTTTGACAAATAGTGTTAGGGAAACTGGATTCCTACCTGCAAATGAATTGAGTTGGACATATATACCATATACAATAATTACCTCAAAATGAATCCGATACCTTAATGTAAGTGTTGAAAATACAGAACTCTTAGAAGAAAACAGTGGAAAAACTTTTGACATTGGATTTGGCAATTACTTCTTGGCCATGACACCAAAAGCAAAGACAACAAAAGAAAAAAATAAATTGAATTTCCTCAAAATTAAAAATTTTGCCTGCCTCAAAGGATGCTATCAGCAGTGAAAAAGCAACCAATGAATTGGGAGAAAATATTTGCAAATCATGTGTCTGATAAGGGATTAATATCCAGAGTTTATAAAGAACGCTTTATAAAGACTCAACAATGACAGAACAACCCAGTTAAAAATGGGCAAAGGGCCTAAATAGACTTTTCTCCAAAAAGATATACAAATTGTCAATAAGCACATAAAAAGATGCTCAAGTCACTAGTTGCTGCTGCTGCTGCTGCTGCTGCTGCTAAGTCGCTTCAGTCGTGTCCAACTCTGTGTGACCCCATAGAAGGCAGCCCACCAGGCTCCTCCGTCCCTGGGATTCTCCAGGCAAGAACACTGGAGTGGGTTGCCATTTCCTTCTCCAATGCATGAAAGTGAAAAGTGAAAGTGAAGTCGCTCAGTTGTGTCTGACCCTTAGCGACCCCATGGACTGCAGCCCACCAGGCCCTTCCATCCATGGGATTTTCTAGGCAAGAGCACTGGAGTGGGGTGTCATTGCCTTCTCTGCACTAGTTGTTAGGGAAATGCAAATCAAAAGCACAATGAGATATCAGTTCACACCCATTAAGATGACTGCCATCAAAAAGCAAAATAACAAACTGTTGGTAAGAAATGTGGAGAAATTGGAACACTTTTGCCAGGTTGGTGGGAATAGAAAATAGTGAAGTTGTTACGAAAAAGTATGGCTGTTCATCAAAAATTAAACACAGACTTACTGTATTTTCCAGCAGTTCCACTTCTGGACATCTACTCAAACAAATTGAAAGCAGGGTCTTGGAGAGACATTTGTACACACATATTCAGACCAATATTATTTCTAATAGCCAAAAGGTGGAAGCAAGCCAGATATTCCTCAACTAATGAATGAATAAACAAATCATGTTCAGCAGGATGAATAAACATATTCAGCGTTATAAAGGAATGAAATTCTAACACATGCTACAGTATGAATGAATTTGAAGACATTTTGCTAAGTGAAATAAGCCAGCCATAAAAGAACAAATACTGTATCACGGCACTTACACGAGGTTCCTAACATAAATATCTTGTGATGTCAACCCAAAAAAGCCAAGTCTTGGATGCAGTGTTAGTTGTTGATGAGCCAAGTTGGTGGTTTTTCCTTAGATCCTATGATGCACTGTTTTCAGCGGAACAGAAAGCTCTCTTCAGCACCAAGTGTCTCACCCTCACATCATTTCCTCCAGCAGACAGTTAAGTCTGCATCCATTTCATCTAGCAAAGTTTAGAGTGTTGTGCCATTCAGCTGTTTCATGAGGTTAGTTTCATGCTGTCCCTTTGTTAAATTGTTACAAAATAATGTGATGAATGGGCTTAAGCTTTTTGGACTTGCAAAATACTGACTGTTGAATAAGAAGTGCACACTAACAATGACCATTGAGGGTCACATGCTAAATTTGACCAGTCTACATTAAACTTTTCATAGAACACAGCAAAGAATCATTCTGTAGTGTTGTGCTTATTATGAATACTATAGCTGTAACTTCTTTAGTCTCTTGAAAATCCTCCTCAGTTCCATGAGTAAATATAACTATCTGTGTTGTATTACTTATATCTCTCTGTTCTAATCAGCTGCCATTAGAAATACCATAAACAACTTGTCTTTTTCCATGAAGTTTATTCTGTAAGTTCTCAGACCTATCTTTACTACACTGAGCAACATGATTGTTTACAGTTGGATTTAAATTTGTCAGTGCTTCATTTTTCACCATTTTTTGCCATGTCGCATAAAATACCTTTAAACTTACCCTCTTTAACTGCTTGGGGAGTATAAGCAATAAGTAGCTGCAGTTTATAGAAGCAGTACTCTGTGCTATCTATGCTGTACTTAGTCGCTCAGTCATATCCAACTCTCTGCAACCCCATAGATTGTAGCCCACCGGGCTCCTCTGTCCATGGGGATTCATTCTCCAGGAAAGAATACTGGAGTGGGTTACTGTGCTGTCTTTCAGGGGATCTTCCCAACCCATGATCAAATCCAGGTCTCCCGCATTGCAGGCAGATTCTTTACCAACTAAGCCACCAGGGAATCCTAACACATTTATGTTCAAAAACAATCCCTACAGAAAATGTCAATCCTTTTGAAGTTTGTTTTTCTTTCCTTTTTTTCCCCATAAATCACCTATATTTTCAAACGTAATTCTCAACATAATTGTTTAACAGTAGCATCATAAGCTTCTAATACCAATGTGCTTTGTTTACTAAACACATAGGAATATACTTAATTATTGAAGGGATATATGTTTTCTTGAAACTTACCTCTCATCCCCCCCCCCGCCAACTTTTGATTGAGATGTGGATAAGAAATGATTTTACCTTCCTTTTAAAATTGCTTAAAGAAAAAAATAATAATAAAATCGCTTAAAGAAAATCAAAACCTCTCAGTCTACAATATTGGAGTCGTAGGAAGTGGTGGAGGCTGTGGCAGCTTGAGTTCATTGTATCTAAAAGATGCAGCTGCAGTTAACTTCCAGGTTAAAACTAATTTTTATATGAAATCACCCACTCAGTTTATAAATGTTGGTAACTAATGCAGAATAAACTGCACGGGCAAAGAAACACACGGTGAGCTCGTTCAGACGTGTGACCAACAGTTTTCTTTTTCTCCCCTGAACCTTCACAGTCAGCCTTCCCTCCGCCTCCTGGTCAGCCCAGCTGCCACTTCAAGGATAAGACTTAGGGATAAGATTTAAGATTTGCAGCTGTTTTCATCTTCCTGTTGGTAGAAATTAAAGCTACCAATAAGAATATGACCTGCTTTTGTTTAGCTTTCTATTTAATGAAATCACAGTCTCCTCACTTAAAGGTAGAGTGAGCAGAGAGATGGATCTAATAGAATACTGCAACAGGGGATGATTATCACTTACCTTAAAAAAGTAAAACTGTGGGACAAAGCCTGTTTTCATGAGCAATTATCTGTTTTTATTTTCATTAAATTAAAATTAGTTTACAGTTCATTTACCATAAATAAGTCTTTAAAAGCACACGAGTTGGATTTCTGAGAATTTGATGTTTTATCTGAACTGAAGGAGAAATGCCAAGCTTGATGGACCTGTCATTCCTCCTATGAATGACCTAAGGGAAAGGAGACTGCCCCCACCCTCCTCCACTACTGTGCATCTTTTGATTCCTGACACGGTAATGATTGTGGATTGGATTCAAGAACATGCCAACTGTGTTATCAGTGATGGGCAGTGTCAGAATCACTTAATAGTGATAGAAGATTATTAAGTGCTTTTAGAGTTTTAATAATTTTATAAACTAATGAAGAAATGAGGTTAAGTTTTGAAGTAGTTTTCCAGTTACTTAATTTTAACATAAAAACTTCTGGTCCTGGTTTGTTTTTCCAATAGAAGAAATGAAAAATTGAGATGTTAAAGCGAAAGGCTGTCAAGTCATCGCACGCGTTTTCTGTCTCATCCACACTGTAGGGGGAACGCAACGACTGCCGCGTGCCATTGGGATGTCCCTGGCGAAAGAGCTCATCTTCTCTGCGCGTGTGCTCGATGGCCAAGAAGCCAAGTCAGTGGGCTTGATCAGCCATGTTCTAGAACAGAACCAGGAGGGGGACGCCGCCTACAGAAAGGCCTTGGACCTAGCAAGAGAGTTTTTACCTCAGGTATTTTAACTGTGTTTCTTTTTTTGCTCTTTTTTATAACCTTACAACAAGTTGACAAAACCAGCGATCGTGTTACCTACCTATAATGTCCTTTGCTTGCTTTCCAAGTAGAGAAGCATACAAGTAGCTGTAAAACTAGAAATCATATACCAGATTAGTATTAAGAGCCTTCATAATTAAGATTTGAAGGTAATTCAAGGCCCTTACTCTAGCTGCACATTGATAATATATTATGTGCGTGTTTATCACATGCAACAGAGATTCCCAGCAACTTAAGTTGTTCGCCAGCTAGTCCTCCTGCCCTGAATGGTACACATGGGCTTTTACACTGGATTGTCCCCAAACTGAAACGCAAATAAATAAGGAGCTCACAGTCCATTATGTCAAGCGAGCTTTCATTGAGATCACTTAACTTGAGATAACCTGCTTAAATAGCACCAGTTGTTTATCTTATTGTGTTTGTTTTCATGGTGATGACGGCCTTATTTTAACTCCTTTGTGCACCATCCACTTCTTCAGAAGTACACTTCAAATCTGGGAATCACTGTGCGTTTACTCACAGATCTTAATCCTCGTGAGCAGTAGTATTAATAATAAACAGAGTGTCAAGGAACCTGTTTTAAGGGTTTCTTGGTTCTCTCACTGTTTGAGAAGTATTTTTCAAATAGTCCTTTGTTCAGAAATCATAGATTAAAGGACTTTTGCTAAGTAAACAATTAGTGATTTGTGTTTATTCCCAATGGATTGTAAACTTTTATAATCCCCTAACCATTTCTGGAGTCAAAATTACTTCCTCTCTAACTCAATCAGTATTTGTAACCTTTTTTGAGGCCATGAGTTCTTTTGGGAACTCTCTCTAGAGAAATGCACACACCCTCCACATTTGTTCGGGGCTCTGTATCCGGTTTCAGGAGGCATCCGTGGAGTTCTTTGTTGTCAGACAGAGCCCAGGTCTGCTGCGGCGCACCTGTCCCTGCGAGCTGTCAGATGGGGCCTCTCATTTAAGTTGGCTTCTAAAGCCACACTGCCTGGGTGTCGGTGCTATTTCAGCCCTTCTCAATTAAGTTAGAGCTGTAAACTCTTTCAGGGTGGGGCCCTTATGTATGTTCATTCCCTGGATGAGGTAACACATAGCCTTATACTCTGAATCCATAGAGAGCTAACACAAGACTTTCACTACTTTAAGATTAAGAAAAGCTCTCCTTGTAACTTTGGTATTAATGGTTCTTCAAAATATTAAGGAAACATCTCGCTGAAGAGAGATTAAAGGTGTACACATATCAGAAGTGATAGTTTAGCTCCATACAGATTTAGCGACTTCCTGTAGATTAAAACTTGACGACCAGTACACGTCTCAGTTGAAGTAAAGCAGTGTATTTAAGGAAGGTTTGGGCGTAATTTCAGTTCTGAGATTCACAGCCTCCCATGGTCCTTGGATGTGAGTGGTCAGCTCCCTGTTACAGATCTCCGCCAGGGTGGCGGGTGGCTCATTAGCCCCTTGTTGCCTCTGTGGTTCCATTCTTCATCTCACTCCTGAGAACTGGCTCTCTCGTATGCGATCTTGCTCACACACATGCGCACTCTCTCTCTCTTTTTCTCTCTCTGTGCCCGCAGCTCACCCCACCCTAGAGCCTCCTTCTCCCCACCTCCAAACTGACATCTGGCTGCACCCTGCCATGTGGTAAACCAGGCTGTCCTCATCGTCCCTTTCATTAGAAGGACACCCCTCTGAGAACATTAATTGCTAACATTATTTTTCCCCCAGCTGAAGGGAGATGTCAGATGACTTCGGAAAATGTGTAACTGTGAAACTATATGCACAAGTTACAAAACAGAATTTGAGGTGGAATAATTTTTATTTTTAAAGATCTTGTTACTAAATTATTAGTCTCTAAGTAATTGGGAAACTTCTAAACAATTAGGATTTCTGTGTGATTTCTGTATTTGTGTGTATCTACTTCTGTTTTTCTGAGGAAAAAAAATGGTTTGTATATATAGAAGAGGCACTGGTTTCATATTTTAAAAAAGAAGCTAATTGAATAAGCATTATATCTAATAGTGTTTTCATTTTCCTATCTCTCCAGTTTCCTAAACCTTGCTGCCCAAAGTGTGGTCTGTGGACCAGCAGTCCAGGCATCCCCTGGGAACATGGCCCATCCGTGACCCTGAATCAGTGTCACCATTTTAACAAGGGACCTGGGGACTTGTGTGCATGTGGAAGTCTGGCCAGCATTTGTCTGGGTCAGCTGGTGATAAAAATGAAAGGATAAAATTCTCATTGAGAGGAGTACTCTGTTTTGTTTTGTTTTATTTTGTTTTTTAGTGAATTGTTGATCTTAAAAAAAAACTAGTACATACAAATTACATTTGGAAGAATTCTAAGATACTTGCCTAAGTCTCAGAAAATTGCAGGGTCTTAAAATTTTTCAGCACATGATTTAGGAAGAAAATTTAGGTAGGTTAAAACTGATAACCAAAAAAAAAAAAAAATTTGCATTTTTCATGCCATCATGCATTTATGCACTTATTGGAGTCCTTTATTGTGCCTCTTATTTAGAACCTCTTGCATTTTAATTCAAAAGATGCTTTAAACTATACCATTGAATTCATCACTCATAACAATTTTCAGGAATTTTAAATGTGATCAGATAAATTCCATCTGGAGGATTGTGGTTTTCTAAGATAAAACCTTCTTGCAGGGGACTCTCAGTTTTGACCCTCACACATACTAAAGGACTCATTTGGACTTGAAGCTTTTGTGTAATGTGGGAGTACCGCCTGGAGGACATGTCTTTACTAGTACATTATCATTGTGATTAATTATTGATGCCCAGGGAAGAACGATACAGATCCACTACCTAAAACAGATGCTATCTGGGTATGTGCTGCCGAAGCGAGCCAACAGATGCTATCTGAATTCCCATGTTAATCAAGAGTGTCAGCCTCATCTCCAGCCCAGTTCAGTTCGGTTCAATCTCTAGTCATGTCCGACTCATTGCAACCCCATGGACTGCAGCATGCCAGACTTCCCTGTCCATCACCAACTCCTGGAGCTGACTCAAACTCATGTCCGTCGAGTCAGTGATGCCATCCAACCATCTCATCTGTCGTCCCCTTCTCCTCCTACCTTCAGTCTTTCCCAGCATCAGGGTCTTTTCCAGTAAGTCAGTTCTTTGCATCAGATGGCCAAAGTATTGGAGCTTCAGCTTCAGCATCAGTCCTTCCAATGAATATTCAGGACTGATTTGCTTTAGGGTGACTGGTTTGATCTCCTTGCAGTCCACGGGACTCTCAAGAGTCTTCTTAAACACCATTTCAAAAGCATCAATTCTTCTGCACTCAGCTTTCTTTATAGTCCAACTCTCACATCCATACATGACTATTGGAAAAACCATAGCTTTAACTAGATGGACCTTTGTTGGCAAAGTAATGTCTTTGCTTTTTAATTTGCTGTCTAGGTTGGTCATAGCTTTTCTTCCAAGAAGCAAGCGTCTTTTAATTTCATGGCTACAGTCACTATCTGCAGTGATTTTGGAGCCCAAGAAAATTAAGTCTGTCACTGTTTCCATTGTTTCCCCATCTATTTGCCATGAAGGAATGGGACCAGATGCCATGATCTTAGTTTTCTGAATGTTGAGGTTTAAACCAGCTTAAACTTCCACTCTTTCACTTTCTCCTCCTTCACTTTCATCAAGAGTCTCTTTAGTTTCTCTTCACTTTTCGCCATAAGGGTGATGTCATCTGCATTATCAGAGGTTATTGATATTTCTTCCCTCAATCTTGATTCCAGCTTGTGCTTCATCCAACCTGGCATTTCCCATGATCTACTCTGCATATAAATTAAATAAGCAGGGTGAAAATATACAGCCCAAGCTTCTGTCAAACCACTGATGGGTATGTTAATTGTGCCAAACACTCTTACCTCCTTTTCTCTTTCCTACTTAACTTGTAGGGAGAACTTGTAGGGAGATTCGCTGAACAGTGGAAAGCCCTCTATTGGACACATGCCACCTGCCGACCTCCGAGCATCTAGCGTGCTGTGCTGCAGCATGCCGTGGGCCCTGTGTCATATTGTGGTGCAGTAGTTTGTTAGAATTATGGTTTATTAATAGTTAAAAGCCTTGCATGCGTGCTTAGTCGCTCAGTTGTGTCCAACTCTTTGTGGCCGTTTGGGCTATAGTCATGGGATCTTTCAGGCAAGAATACTGGAGTAGGTTGCTGTTCCTTCCTGTGGAGGATGTTCCCAGCCCAGTGATTAAAACTGCATCTCTACGTTTCCTGCATTGCACGTGATTCTTTACTTCCTGAGCCATCAGGGAAACCCGATCTCCTAAGATGAATTTCCCGTCAGTTATCTTGCAGCCGTTGTTGCTCCTGTGCTGTGGATCCGCCAAAGGGACTTCCTGAATTTGACTGAGATGTACAACATGATTTGCAAAAATAATAGTTAAAATATGTTTTGTTTGAATTTTAGGGACCTGTTGCAATGAGAGTGGCAAAATTAGCAATTAATCAAGGAATGGAGGTGAGTTTCCTAAACTTTTTGTTGGAATAGGTAGTAGAGATTAATTTAAATCAACCATTATTTTTTAACATTCTAAAATATTTACTGCTGTGATTACTGAAAGCTATTGAGGTGTTTTTTAGCTACATCAGTGATTTCATTCTGCTTATAGTTGTAGTTGATTCAATATCATAATCACAGAATTCAGTAATTTCACTTACACCCTGTAGCTTATTATTTTTGCCATTGAGTTAATAGACTTATTGGCTATTAGTTCATAGAAAACCAAAACAAAAGAGTATTCTATGTATTCTCAGCACCAGTATCATATTACCAAAGAAAACCATTTTTTTTTCTAAGGAGAACTTCCTGTTGCAAAGCTCCTGCTAAGCATGGAGACCATCTTTAACTTCTCCATGTGCTTTCTTCAGTGAGACACATATAAACCCTGTAGGGAGCCCTGGGGTTACTCTGGAGATGTAGTCCAAAGGAGCAGAGGCCCCAGGACAGGGGAGAGGTAAGCAGGCCAAGGGATCCATGCAGGCACCCATTTACTTTGGGCTTTGCATTATAGCAGTTGTATTTTGGGTAAATTATAGGAATTTTGAAGAAAGATACTTCTTCCTTACAGACCCAGAAGTGCTATATTTTCCTGGGCTTCATAGCAGTAAAACATGGTTGGATTTGTTAGCAGTAAATACGTTTAAAAATTTTTTTAAGGCAGTTGATTGGGTTTTAAAAATTCTTTCCTTCTCCAGGGGATATTTCTGACCTAGGGATTGAACCCGGGTCTCCTTCATTGCAGGCAAATTCTTTGCTATCTGAGCTGCCAGGCAATATACAGATATATCTTATGTACTTTATAAAGACTTCACCTAGATTAACTCATTTGATCTTCCAACAACCCCATTTGGTAGATACTATAATTAGCTACTTGTTCAGATGCACCTCTCTGAGGCAAAAAAGGTTCAATGACCTCTGTAAGCAAGGTTACACAGCTCACATATAGTACAGTCAGAATTTGAACCCGGGCAAACTAAGTTTCTCGTGCTGATCATACTTCTCATTTGCTGTATTACATCAAAGAGTTCTGTTCTTTTGGAATAGGTTGTTAAATTTGAATTTATATTGATATACCATATTTTTAAAAAGTAATTCTTGCTAAAATGAATTATATTTTTATTATCAGGTCGATTTAGTAACAGGATTAGCCATAGAAGAAGCATGTTATGCTCAGGTATGTGATAAAATCTCTAATTCAATGCAGATACCCCTTACCTTCTGTATAAGTCAACTAAATTATATATCATGAGCAGATTCAAATCACACCTATTACAAAATCATACAAATGGGTTGAAATTGTTTGTTTCTTCTCTTTAACTATCACCAGCTCTTGTGACTAATTCTGTTTCACTTAGTGAATGACTCCTGTCTACATAATTTAGAAAACCTTTGGAATAGTTGTTAGTAGCATTTGTTCTGTAGATGTCTCTCTGGCTCCCTTGTTTTCTGGGTGTGGTTTGAACCCTGACTCCAGAGCAGATAGATGGGAGGAAGGCAACTGTGACCATGTGCCTCTAGGGAACATCAGAGTTTGAGACTCACTGACTTTTCCTGATGTTCTGAACCTTTTCTCCTACCCACTGAAAGTTTAGTAATTCAATTACATACAGTTTTCTTTTTTATACACAAATTAATAGAGCTTTTTGTAGAGGAACAAATCTTCCTTCCTCCCTTTCTTCCATCCTTTTTTAAATGAAAGATAATATTTTGTTTTAGGGCATGTAAAGTGGCACAAGAGTTTTGTTCCACCTTTTCTGAGAATTGGAAACTGTGTTAGCTCCCATTTAAGCATGGCAGAGTCATGAATTAGAAGCAAGAGCTAGAGTGCTAACTGTGGTCAGTATATATAAATTGCCACCTGTCATTGATGAATGCATGCCAAAAGTGAACTAAATTACAAACCTCTTACAAATGGACAACCTCAGAGTCTGAAGAAAAATTTTAAAAGCATATTTGGCCACACCTTATCAAATGTAAAGGCACAGGAATCATACAAACTAGTCTGTCAGACCACAAGGGAATTAAACTAAAACTCAGTAGCAGAGAGATAGATGGAAGCCTTCCTATTAATGGTGAGATTTCATCTTTTTAATAAGACTGAACAGGGTGCTTCTAAATGACATGTGTTGAAGAGAAAGTTTCAAGAATAATTAAGAATAATTATTAATAATTAATATTTTGAGCTAAATCAAAATGAAAATATAGCTTATCAAAATTTGTGAGAATACATCAAAAATAATGTTTGGAGAGAAGTTTATAGCATTAAATGTGTATATTAGAAAAGAAAGTTCTGAAATCAGCTTATTAGAAATGCAAGAAAGGTTATTATTACTGATCCTGTTGACATTGAAAGGATAAAAGAATACTGTGAACTATGTATGGCCACAAATCTGATAACTTAAGATGAAATAGACCAATTCCTTGAAAGACAAAACATACCAAAATTCATACAAGGAAAAACAGATAATCTATATAGTCCTATGTTTTTTATACAGATTAAATCAATAATTAATAAGCTTCTGAAATAGCACCAGGCCCAGACATTTTTCACTGGTGAATTCTACCAAACATTTAATGAAGAAATTATACCAATTATCTACAGTCTTTTCCAGAAAATAGAAGCAGGGGGAACATTTCCTAACTTATTCCATCAGGACAGTGCATGTGTGCACGCTGGCACTTGAGTCGTGTCTGGCTCTTTGCAACCCTGTGGACTGTAGCCTGCCAGGCTCCTCTGTCCATGGGATTCTCCATGCACGAATCCTGGAGTGGGTTGTCATGCCCTCCTCCAGGGGATCTGAACCCAGGGATCAAACCTGCATCTCTTACGTCTCCTGCGTTGGCAGATGGGTTCTTTACCACCAGTGCCATCTGAGAAGCCTGAGGACTGTGTTACCCTCATAACAAAACTAAAGATATTACAAGAAAGGAAAATAGTAAACCACTCTCTCTCATGAATATAGATATAGAAATTCTCAACAAAATAATAGCAAACTAAGTTCAGCAATCTATAAAAAGAATTATGTGGTACAACCAAGTAATATTTTTTCCCCAGATATGCAAGGCTGGTTCAGCACTCAGAAATCAATATAATCCAAGCTAAAGAAGGAACTCTGGTGAAAGAAATCACTATTTAAATAAATAGATAGCTCATATTCATGGATAGCAAGACTCAATATTTTAAGATACCACTTCTTCCCAACTTGATCATATGTGTAGTGCAATCCCAATAAAAATGCCAGAAAGTTATTTTCTTAATACTGGCAAACCAGTTCTAGAGTTTGTATGGGAAGTGCAGAGACATAGGTTAGCTACCACACTAGTAAGGAACAAGGTTGGAGGAATGACACTACTCATCTTTAAGACTTAGAGTAAAGCTGCAGCAATCAAGAAAGTGTGGTTCTGGCAAAAATAAAGACAGATAGGCTAATGAAACAGAATAGGGAACTCAGGAATAGATTCATACAAATATAGGCAGCTGATCTTTGACAAAAGAGCAAAGGCAATTCAATGAAGAAAAGTCATCCTGAAAATCAGTAGTACTGAAAGCATGTGGACATTCAACTCCCAAAAACAAAAAGAATCTAGACATTGACCTTATACCTTTTACAAAAATTAACTGAAAATGAGCTATAGACTCATTTTTAAATGTAAAATGAAAACCTGTAAAACTTCTTGAAGTTAGCATAGTAGAAATTCTAGGTGACCTCAAGTTTGGCAATGGCTTTTTATATATAACGCCAAAAGTGTAATTCATGAAAGAAAAAAAATTCATGTGTATTAAGATTAACTTACTATGCAAAAGACACTGTGAAGAGAATGGAAAGATAAGCCATAGACTGGAAAAAATATATTTGCAAAACGTGTCTGATAAAGGACTTATATCCAAGATATAAAAAGAACTTTTAAAACTCAAATAGCTTTTATAATAAGAAATAGTATACCCATGGCGGATTCAAGTCAATGTATGGCAAAAACCAATACAATGTTGTGAAGTAAAATAAATATATAATTTTTTTTTTAAAAGAAGGTATAAGGTCTGAAGAGATACCTCACCAAAATAGGTGTACAGAAGGCAGATAAGCATAAGTAAATATGGTCCACATCATATGACATTAAAAAATGCACATAAAACAGGATTTCACAGTTTAGCCATTTCTTACATAATTTTACCACATGACCTAGTGATCATGCAATTTTGCATTTACCCAAATGAGTTGAAAACCGGTGTCCACACAAAAGCTACACAGTGGTGTTTATTACAGCAACTTTATAAACCTGCTGTTCCTAAGTTTTGTAAAGCTTGGAAACAACCACGATGACCTTCAGTAGGTGAATGGATAAAAGCTGTGGTACTAATATATCCTTTCAGTGGGGTCTTTGTTACTCAGCAGTGAAAGGAAATGAGCTACTCTGCTAGGATAAGACAAGAAGGAACCTTAAATACTTATTGCTAAATAATGAATTTTAATCTTAAAAGTCTGTACTATATGACTCCCAACTATGTGACCTTCTGGAAAAGACATGGGGCGGGGGCAGGGTGGTCAGGGATGACTAGGTAAAGCATTAGGGATGTGTAGCCAGTGAACTTGTTTTCTGTGATGCTGTAATTAATGGCGGATACATGACATTATGTGTTTGTCAAAACCCATAGAATATCCCTAATGTTACTATGGACTGGTTAATAATACTGTGTCAGTGTGGGCTCATTAGTCATAACAAATATACCACATTAATAAAAGATGTTAATAATAGCGGAAACAATGAGGGGCTTCAGGGGAGTATATGGGAACTCTGAACTTTCTACTTAGGTTTTTAGTAGACCTAAAATTGTCTGAAAAATAAACTCTTAATTGTATTGAAGTATGTTTAATGAAACGGAAGAGAAAAGTATATTGGAATTAGAATGATAAATTTGTTCACATAATTTAAATTGTTCAGATGATTTTACAATTTTAGATTGTCTTCTAATTAGTTTCCTTAGATAAAGCTCATTAAACTTTTATAGTTGTTTCTCATTTTGGGCACAGATAACATACTGTTTTGCTTCTCTTAGACCATTCCAACAAAAGACAGACTTGAAGGTCTTCTTGCTTTTAAAGAGAAAAGGACCCCTCGCTATAAAGGAGAATAGAAGAAACACAAATGTTTAAAATGCCAGTGTAATAAATAATACTTCTGAAAGTACCTTTCAGATCCACATATGCCTCAGCACCTGGAATTGCAGTGACCAAAGTGAAGAATGAGTTATCTGTGTACTGAATTAAGTATCTGGAGTGGGCCCATATGCGTACTTTGTTCAAATATGTATCATCATACTCATTCAGATTTGTAAAGCTAGTTGTGTATACTGTCAAAAACACCAATTCAAAGTTAGGTATACATTTTTAAATACCTCCTGCATATGAGGCTTTCTGTTCTGAATTTTTTTAATGTGAATAATTTATATATCATACACTCTAGGAAAAAATATTGATTGTATGTCTCCTGTGCTATAGTATGAAAATAAATTTTATTTCTATACACCAAAAATGTGAAGTTATACCAAATAAAGTTTCTAAGGGATTGTATATAATGGACCTACAGACTTACATCTCATACTGAAAAAGAAGTTGATAGGATTCTGAGTGAAAATTACCAAATATGAATAAAATTAGTGAAACGAAAACTTGGAAATTTTTCTCTTACCCCATTCTTTTTCTATTGAAGAAGTCATTGCATGTTGGATTTTAGAAGAATCCCCCTGTCCATTGCTGATTCTATCAAGTGACCTCTTTATGTAGTCAGTCTTAGAATACAGTGTGGATGATGGAGAATTAATTCAGTCAGAGATTGGGGCCAAAGGCCTTGTACAGCCAACTGGAGGCCTGGAACAACCTCGAAGCCCTCCTAGCCAGTGGCCTGGCTCCCTGGCCTAACCCATAAGTAAAATGGTGTACCAAGGTTGGCCCAGGGAGTGCCTTGGTCCTGGATTAAGGGTGAAGCGGGGCTTGCTCTTTGCTTCCTTCTCCTTAGCTATTTGCACCTGATTTCAGTAAGGAAAGAAGATGAACACAGCAACCCTTTATCCCCCACCTAACAACCATCATACCTTTCTAACCCTGTCCAGGTAAGCACCTAGAGATGCAGGGGCTACGGGGTCATGTGAGTCTATATGGCTTTGCCTGGGGGGCAGATAGGAAGTGTGCAGGAATTAGCTACGTAATTCAGCAAAAGGGAGACGAGCAGTACGCTCCCTGAATGAATCTGAGCTAGCTTTATTTTGTATTCGTTCCATCAAGCCTCACTGCTTTCTGGGGCTGCACCCCGCGCTGAGTCCAGCACCAGCAGAGCCTCCCTTTCCTGGGACCCACCCACTCCTGTTACTAGCCAGCTCTGGGGTGCCCCACTGTCCCCAGGCACCGTAGCTGTGCTTCATTGTAGTGAAGTCAAGTTCAGCACACGGGACTGCCTGTCTCATGCATTTCCATGCTCACCACAGCTACTTCGTTCTTGGAAAGCAAATATAGACTTGGAATTTTTGAAATCATCGAAACTTAGTTTTTAATTAGAGAAACTGAACTCTCAGTCTCGACTCTAAAATCCTTGAGAGAGATAAGCATGAAGTTACCCTCGGCTGATGGTCACCTTTCTAAGAGGCAGGCCTGCTTACTGTCCACACCCTTGCACTACGGGCAGCCCTGTGCCCTTTGTCGCCTTGGCCACTGACACAGTGCAGACCGTGACGTTTGCTGGCTGATCAGCGTTGTATGAAAGTTTATTAAAATTCACATTCGGCTCTGGTGATTGTACCTGCTGGTGTGTACACTTTGCTGACAAAGTTGTACCATTCATTTCCTACAAGATAATTTGCAAATAAAGTGCTGGTCCTTGTTTTCATGGTCCTTTAAAGGCATCACCAACTCAGTGGTCATGAGTTTGAGTAAATTCCGGGAGTTGGCGTTGGACAGGGAGGCCTGGCATGCTGCAGTCCATGGGGTCGCAAAGAGTTGGACACGACTGAGCAACTGAACTAAACTGAAAGGTTGCAGGACCATTTTCCTCTGTCCATGACATGTTCAAAGGCCACTTCCTTTCTGAATAGGAAATAATTTTGTTGGTGGGGAAAATTGAGTGTGCTCAGTGACTTGTCGCTCCTGTCTTGGATTTGTAGTCTGCTGCTGATCGAACACCATTTAATCTAACAAGTTCTGAGTAAGTCACTGGAGTATAGCTGAAAGCAAAGACACCCTCCCGTAGTACCTTCCACCTGTCTGCTCAGCTGTCTACAGCCATTTGCATCTCTCTTGGCTTTCCCTTTAGCAGAGCAGTCTTGCTAGGGCGTGGTCCTAACACTCCACCCAGGTTGAGGTCCAATGGCTGGCGGTCAGGGAAGGTGGGAGAGCTGCTTTTTCCAGAGGGAGCACCTGCTCTGACAGATGAGCCCCAACTTCTTTTGTTTTCCTCCAGAATGTAGAGTGTTTTCAAGTCCTTAAACTGAAACCACGTCAAGTCGACGCAGCAAGCCGGAAATGCAGTGGATGTAGCCATACATTCAGATGGAGTTAAAGGCGACTGAGAGGGAGGGAGGATGATTAACCAGGCACATTTACAATTCAGGGCGAAAACATTTCGTGTTATCTCAGAGCAGGAGACCTACTAGTCTTGAGGTAACGTAGTGCTGGTTAATTTATAACTTATCTCTGGAAGGAAAAGAGGTTTCCAAGTTACAGTGGTTCTGAGTCAAGAGAGGACTTCTAATCATGGCTGAGAGAGGACTCGGATTTCCTGTGACTCATTTTCTCTGATTTAAAGGGTCATTTCAAGTTTGTGTTGTTTTCAATAAAAAACACCTGGCTTTCCTGTGCCTTTTTTCCCCTTCTGGATGTCAAAAAAATTGGCTTGTCATACAGTGTTAACTTTTCTGACAGTACATAGAATAGTGCTCTGGATATGGGCTAGAGTAATTGGGTGTCGTTTTGTGGGTAGCATAATTACAGAAAATGCTTGTTTTTCAAATGGACTCAAAGCTGGCTACCCGCTGGCCCATTTCCTCACTTGATCTCAACTCCATCTTCTAGTTAAGGGAGACCCTACATTTGTTTTGATTTGGGGTCCAAAAATCCTGACAAGTAGGCAAACATTTTAAATGTTTAATCCTTCTGTTATTGTTTGTCTACTCACTTAGTTAAATATCAACTAATGTGTGTGTTGACATTTATTGGATTTTATCAGAAGACAATAGAAATTTTCTCATATTTAAACAGGACTTGTACATGCATCACACACACACAAAATAACAGCATTTCAAAGTTACTTGATAATATTTTGATAAAATGAAGAGCTGTTCTTCTGTGTTGAGGAAACAGGCTACAGATTGTGAAATGTGGTTGGGGATATTTTAGCAGGTAGGAGGCTGAAACACTGCTCAAAATAATTGTGGATCTCAAGCCCTGAAAACTCACTGTTTCAGCTGTCTTTTGGGGAACATCCCAAAACTAAGCTACCCCTCAGAGGGCTGGCTCCTAATCATCAAACAGTTTGGTGCACAATGTTTGTTTTTCAAACCAAACCCCAGGGTAATACGAGAGAGCTGGGTACCTGAAGGGGAGAATAAAAGACCCCAAGGACCCACGAAGACACACACCTCTCATGTGGTCAGGGCCAGCCTTTGTGACACTCATCCATGTAGCACCAGCTTCAAAGTTGGAAGGTGACCATTCTACAGTGAGCTTGCATTTCCCTGGGACCAGCAAAGTGAGCTCTTAGCCACCAGGGCGTCAATCCCATTTTGAAGTATAGAATACACAGTATTACATGTTTGGATTCAAGGGAACAGTTTGACAATATCATTGAAGATATTAATGTGCCGGCGACAAGAGAATTAGAGCTGGGTATTGTCATGATGATAATGACCACAACTTACGAAGCCCTAAATACCTCCAGGTGTGTCCATGTGCAGTTGTTTACTCTTCAGAGCGTCCAGGAAAGGAGAGGTGCTGGTTATTCCTGGGATCCAGAGCAGGAAACGAGCACAGTTTGATGACGGGTGCTGGAGTCCGGGACTGAACCTGAGACTGTTGACTTGTCATTTCTGTTAAGTCTGAAGACATCTGAACAGCACAACCAAAAACTACCAATAGATGTGTGTCAACCTTTGCCCAAAGTGGTTCTAGTTTTCTTGTGACTTGGCGAGACACTAAGTGTGCATATTGAGGGATCAGAAGACAGGGGCAGACTGTGCAACGGTTACAGTGATGCCTGCTCAGTGTCTCTAAACAAAGCCCTTTGCCTACCTGGTCACATCCAATACTTAAACACCTTAGGAAATGGGTTTGTCATTTTATCGTTTGAAGCCAGAGCTATGTCTGTGGTGGGCATTCTGAATTCAGAGCCCCTGGCGCTCATCATGACACCTGGAGGATATGGAGCCAGTCTTGGCAGCTGTGAACAGTGAGTCTAAGGACTTATGTTTGGTAAGGATACCCATCAGAAAGAAGCACGTGTGGGTCAAGAGCACCCCATGCTGCTGCTGGGGAAGAATGGTGAGCCCCTTGCTGTATTCTGCCTGGTCAGGCCCACTCCGAGTCTTGTATTCACTTCTCAATGTCACAGTTTCAGGTGCTTATAGATTCACTTTGTGCTTTTCTGGAAAGCACACAGGCATTCTTCACCCAGGTTTCAACTCTTCTGAAACCAGTGATGAGGCCATTTAGTAAAAGCATCTCCTCCCTCTGAGCCTGTTTCTTCACCTATAAAGGAATCCAATAGTCGTTCGTGATCCCTGCAAAGACAGATTGGGTGTGTCCATGCAAAAGGGCTGTGGAATCAGTAAGGTCATCTACAGAAGTGGTGGTGATGTTTGATTTTTTGTGTGTTTCAAAAGAGACCTGTTGGAATAGGTAGGCGGGTCTCACAACCACGCCCAGTTCAGGGTCATGTTCAGGAACCTGGACGTTCACCCAGGAAACAAGAGGTTGGGGAAACCTGGTGACTGTTTTTTTTTTTTTTTAGAACTACAGTATGAAACTGGAACCTTCGAGGCTGCCAGGGGCCAGAGGAAGCCACACAGGTCCCCACCCCCAACACTGCTCTTCTGCTCTGTTCTATGTTTATCCACACACAGAGATGAGGCTGTGCTCAATAGGGGAAGCA